GAGACTGAAGTGGGGGGAGGGAGCTCATACTGTACACACCACAGCAACAGAATGTCCAAATCCTTTCTAGAAATACACGTAGTCTTCGCAACTAGGCTTCCTGGGGTGGGGGGAGGGGCTTCCCTCCACCTCACCTTCCTCCTGACCTGTGGTCTCTTCTCTCTCCTACTCATTCTCCCCTAAGCCCCAGCATCTGACAACTACCTTCACCCTTGCTTGCCCTGACCTGTCGCAGTAACCCGAAAAACAAAACTCCTAGATAAGAGGGCCCACCTTCCCCAGAAGGCAGCTCAGCCCCCATCTCTTCCTAGTCCACTTCGGATGGTTCCACCGTGGGCAAGCACCATGCTTTTCCTTCCAGGCCCATCTTTTTCTTCCAGGCTCTGTCTCACCACTGGCTCCTGTCCTCAATGAACTGATGTCCTCAGTTCCAGCACTGGAGGCACAACAGAAATGTGATTTTAGGTCTGGATCCAAAGGAGGAATGTGACACCCCGCACAGGCTCTGGTGTGTGTGTGTGTGTGTGTGTGTGTGTGTGTTTCTCTGAAAGAATCACTTAACCTAATTTTCTTAGCATCAACTCAAAATGCCACGGAGACCAAGTGAAAAAAATGTCACCTAAGTACAAAGGGTAAATCTTGTTATTCACCTTAAACAACGCGCGAAGCTTTTAGCATGTCTGCGTTCCTCTCACTCTTCCTCCTCTGTTCTCTAAGCCTTGAAAAAAGGAGGACTTTCTGGAAAAAATGTCCTTCTGGTGACATGGCTGGGGCAGTGGGGTCATTTGGATGTGGGCCATGCTTGTTCACCTTGAAGATAAAGGGCACTTTCTGGTGAGCTGTCAGCCAGGGGCAGCTCCTGTTCACCTCTGGGAGATGGCCGAGCAGATGGGGTTCTGGGATGCAGGGCAGGGGCCCAGCCCACCCGTGTCACCTGGCACTGACATTTCGGGGATGGTTCTGCTCTGGCTAATTTTCCTACCCACGCGTCACTCCACCCACAGTGCAATTAGCCCACCTAAGGGCAGGAAGAGGTACCTGAATTCACATTCCTCCAAGACCGTACATGGTGGTGGAGAGAGGAGAAATTGGGGTGCTGGTAGGAAGGGCGGTGGATGCTGTGTGCCTGGAAGAGAACCTCCTCATGTCTAGATTTGTGGCTTATTAATAAGAATAATGTGTGAAAATGACCCTGCACAGTGCCTGGCCCTGAGTGACCCCCTGACACATGGTTGCTACTTGATAGAGGTGACCAAGTGAAGAATAAGTTGGGGGAGGTGGGCACATAGAGAATGAATGATGACATGATGTGATGTGTGCTGTCATTGAGGCCTCCGTAGAGCGTTCTCGGAGCCAGTGGAGAAGGAAGTAGCTCAGCCAGCTCAGCTTAAGAATGGTCAGGGGAGGCTTCACCGAGGAGGTAGCCTTCAAGCAGTACCTGAGGATAGGTAGAAAGTAGACAGGTAGGGAAGGGATCTGAGAGGAGGAGAGGCTTCTCACGTCAATGGAACAGGATCAAAAGCACAAAGGTGTGAAGATGATGCGGTGAGAGATTTGTGGCATAGTCTAGAAAGGGCAGATCTTGGTGTTGCTGGGACTCAGAACATTTGTGGGGTGATATTGAAGATGCTAGAAGAGTAAATAAGGACCAACTGCAACCGGCCTTATTTGGGCAAGTTAAAGAGTTTGGATTTTTGGTAGGGCCCTGTGGCTCACAACTGTAATCCCAGCACTTTGGGAGGCCGGGGCAGGCAGATTACCTGAGGTCAGGAGTTCGAGGCCAGCCTGGCCAACATGCGGAAAACTCGTCTCTACTAAAAATGCAAAAATTAGCCAGGCATGGTGGCATGTGCCTGTAGTCCCAGCTACTCAGGAGGCTGAGGCAGGAGAATAACTTGAACCTGGGAGGTGGAGGTTGCAGTGAGCAGAGGTTGCACCACTACACTCCAGCCTGGGTGACAGAGAGAGGCATAAATAAATAAACAATAAATAAACAAACAAATAAATAAATAAAGGGTTTGGATTTTATCCTGTAGCAGAGAGGGCTTACCGTCCATCTCTGTTTATTCCTGAGGCAGACATCACCAATCGATCATGCCATTTTCTGCAAAGGGTGAGCACCTCTAGGCAGCTGCTGCCAATCATTCGTCATGAGAAAGAGAACATATTTGCTTCCCTGCACAGGCTCTGGGGAGCTATGGGAGGGTTTAAACAGATGGGTGATGAGGGAGTTTGTTGCAAGTATCCAGGTGATGGCAAGGCTGGCCTGGGACAGTGATTGTGGGAATGGACATGTTACCGCTCATGTTTGTCTCAGTCTTAACCATCCAGCTAAAGATTCCAGGCATCTCCTGAGCTCCCCACTTCCCGCATCCCCAGGTCCTCAGGGTTCCCTGTGTGCGTGTGTCTCTCTGTGTGCGTGCATTAGGTCTGTCTGGGCTTGATTTTAGCAAGGAGCTTGCTATATGTCTAGAGCTGCGCTATTTCACATGGCAACCACAAGCCACATTATGGCTATTTAAATTTAAAGTAATAAAAATAAAAATTAAAAATGTAGTTCCTCAGCCACACTAGCCACAATTCCAATCACTCAATAGCCACATGCAGTTAGTGGCTACTGTCTTTGACAGTGCAGACGTGTATCCTTTCCACTATGGTCTAGAGAAATCCCGATCGAGTGTCTAGATGGTGTGGTCCACTATGACCCTCAGGCCAGGCCAACTCCATCTTCTATATGGTGGCAGAAAGTGAGCGAAGAGCTGAAACTCTTGTCAATGCACATCTGCTCAGTAAAAGCAAAGTCTCCAAAGGGAGATTCTTAGACCGTTTTAGAGCTTCAAACCAACTCTGAGCGAATCCAGCCAGACCTGGAGGTCTCCAGGGAGAAGGGAGCAGCCGGCACTGTGCTGGGGGGACTGGCTGCTTCTGCTATATTCCTTTCACAAAGGAGTAAACAGGCGCAGAGAGGGTTGTGACTTGCACTCTGGAAGATGACTGGGAACGTCTCGGAAACGGAGCCGCAAAAGGTTGTTTTGCCACTTGCTGCCTGGTATTCTTTGGGGTCATCACTGCTTAGTTCCTTGGGCAGGAGCGGATTAGGTGGCATCTGCCAGTGCCCATCTCAGAAAGTGTCTGGGCCTAAGAGCCACAGGGGGGCTGTTGGATTGGGGAGCACGCTCGTTTCTCGAGGGATCCGCCAGAGGGCGCAGAGGCCATTATGTTCCGCCTGAGGGGCTCTTCCGGCAGGGTCTCGGAGCTGGGACCCTGCTTCTTGCCCAGCCTTGCGGGGGTTACAAACCATGTGTTGGACACCGCCCCTGCCCTGTAGAAGGGCTCAGTTTAAAGGGCAGAGACAGCATATAGCTTGCTTGGGTTTGCAGCGAGGGACCTTGAAGGATAGGTAGGAATGTGCCAGGCAGCCTGGGGTGCAGGTGGGGAACGCCCAATAGTCCTTCTCCATAACCCGGAACAACCAGTGGCCTGTGACCCAGTGCTTGGTTGCCCTCCCAGCCCCATCCTGGGCCGTTCCCTGTTCTTAGTTGACAGGAGGGAGGAATTTCTGGACAGACCTTCTTTCTGCTCTACTAATACCCAACTCCGTGGAGTTCCCTGTACACACATACAAAGCTGTCTCATGCCTCTGTGCCTTTGCACATGCTATTCCCACAGTCCGGGACACCCTTCTCCTCCTTCTTCAGCTGGCCAACTCCTACTCATCCATCAGGATTCAGCTCAGGCAGTGGCTTCTTCTGGGGAGTCTCCGTATTCCAGACCTGCCTGAGATGCTCCGACGGGGAGTTCCTGAAGCCTGGACTTCACTTCTGATGTGCAACACCTGAGAACAGGCGCTGGTGCATGCGGTCCTATAAAAGCGATGGAGAAGTACAGGGCCTGCTGGCGGCAGGCCTCCGGCATGCAGCTTACAGGACCTCGGGAGGAGGTGCCTGACCAAGCACCAAGGTATAGGCCCCGGGTGCCAGAGCTTCTTGTATATTCCACCGCCTCCTCCTCCCCTCAGCATACACCCCTTTGCAGGTGGCAAGGGGCTTTAGGGTAAGGGGTGGGGAACTGGGCCTCTGGAAGGCTAATGAAGCTTCTCTAGGCTGCAGATGAGCCCAGTATCTCTTGGACTTACTCCTGGAGAGGTGGGGAAAGGCAGTGAGCGCCCTGGCACAAGGTAGGGGAGCGTAAAGTCTAATACTGTCTGCAGGTTCCCTGTGTAACCTTGGGGGAAATCACTCCTCTTCCGAACCTCAGTTGTCTGGCCTGTAAAATGGGAACGCAGCAGCCGCACTTCCCCAGTCGCCAGCGGTCGAACGCGGGACCAACCAGCAGGGCGCAGGCTGCGGGTCATGGAGGTACAAGGCGGAGAAGGGGCCCATCCGCGGAGGCGGAGTCCAGGGGGACGGCGAGTCCAGGAGCACCTCCGGCGGCCACGCCGCAAGTTTGCCCCCAGCTGTTGAATGCGCTGGCGGAGGCCGGACCCGGACCCGGA